ATCCTGTTGCAAATTGTTATGTTCAGAAACTCTCTGATTTTCTCAGTTAAAGTGAAAAAAACACCAAGAATAAAGCGCCAAAGAACCATCTGCCTCCAAGCCAGAACATTAGGTTATGGACTGTTAAATATAATTGTAATTCAATCATAATATCTACAGTTTGAGAGTAGCAGGATTTAAATTTGTAAATGCTGAAGTTTGAAATAAACAATCCGGATTCTAAAAGTCTGTCCTGTTACTAACTGCCACACCACAGATAGACTTGAGCTAAAGATAAATGCTGGAAGCATTAATAATTAGATCCAAATAATATTTGCTATTCTGGGATCTTGGAAAAGGTGCAAGTTAATCTACACATGGCAGTAGAGATAAACACAATTTCAAGTTTCTGTACTTTATCCACTCTCTTCTAGTTCCCAAAACAGTAGACACATTACATGCAAAACTTCTACGTTGCATGAAGCTTCTTTAAAAGACACTGAAATTTGCAAAGCTAAGTAGAAAGATGAAAATCAGAACTGGTAAGTAAGCCTTCAAGCTTCAGGGTGGCTTATAAAATCAGATACAGTGACTGACTGACAGTCTGTCTGTAAACAGCTTTGCTTAAGAGTGCTAACAGGACACAAGACTCAACGTATCCTTGCAGTCTTACTCATTCCCTTCTCTTGATGCAGCTCCTCAGCTCATTTAGTACCTGTCTCCGAGAGCAAATAATGAAATGCTGTTCATACTTTCCCCACAGCACAACATCAACTCTTTCCTAGGTTGATCCATCCTGTGTAGTTAACAAGGGAAGGTATCTGTGATCAGACAGATAATGCACGATGAGTCAATGCTCGCATAAAATGTCAACTAAAGTCAATTAAATTTTATCCACATAGATAGAGCTATTGCACAGAGGGCTGCCACTTTCATCTGACCGAGCAATCATAACTTTCTGCCATCCTCCATTTTGACCAAAAATAGAGAGGGATGAAGAAAACAAAGCAAAATCCACTAATAACCAACAGGAAGGTTATTTTAGTTTGAATCTAAATTCACCTTTGAGCAATCTGCTGGCAGAAGAAATAATTTTCCTCTTCTCCCAACAAGCACATGGCTTGCTGTTCCGTACCTTGTTCCCATTCTGGTCCTGCCTGACTACACCCACATCAGATGGCTGATCAGTGGGTCAGGGCATGAATTCAAGCACTGTCCCACATACCATTTAATTGTTAGCACCTTCTGGTCTGGTTTGGGCCCCTAGTTTTCCAGCCAATGTCCAGGCACTCTTTAGGACACCATGTAGGCCAAGGACTGTTCCCAGTATGCAGTATGGGCAAGACTGTCCTTTTGTGGGGAAGGAGTTTAGCAGGGCTGAAGAAGAGGGGGACGGGTCAGTTAGTCTCTTATCCTAAAGAAGTTGGGATGTGTCTGGGTCTGGGTATAGAAGCGAAGCACCATCAATTCCAGTACAACCCTTCACTGCTGTGCCAAGCGGCTCAGCTCCTGCACCACTGCTCCCTGACTCCTGATCCTGATCCCTCCATCCATCTCATTAAGATCCCTCTTCCAATCTCTCTTCCCGAGTATGGATTCATTGTGGTTCGCCCCTTGCGTGGCAGAGACCAATAGCTTTTCCCTCCCTAGTGTGAAGCAGAAATTGAGTGGTGGTACAGAAACTCCTTCAGAAAGCTATGAATGCTCTGTGTGTGTGCAGGTCCTAAAGCAAATAACGAAAAAATAAAACCAGAGAAGCACGCAGCAGTGTGTAGTTGTAGCTCGGAAGCAGCCAAGCTCCCTAGTGATCCCGTGAAAGACTGGCTCCTTTTTCCTCCGTTGCAACATGTTGATACGCAACCCAGCCCAGCGCAGCCTTGGGCAGGGCCGTGCGCGAGCACCGTGAAAAGGGTGTGTGGGCAGCAGCACGGGTGGGGAGGTCAGACCAAATCCTCAGCTACATTAACGGAAGAGCAAAGATACACCCCCACAGACATGAAGTGATTTAATGGAAAACAGAGCACACATCCATGCTGCAAAGACCATGGATTTAGCCACTGCTAAATGTCAACTCTTTCCAAAGGCATGAGTATGTCTAAATCTCTTAAAATATTGACAGAATCAGAAAATGCAACTCAATTCCTGAAGGACTACTCATTTTGGCTGAAACTTCAGCAAGGTATCAAATACAAGGAATTTCAGCAGTTATGAGAGAAAAAAACTCCAAGCATTGCAATATGGATATCTCAGTTATAAAATCACAGGGCTACCAGCTGCAGTTATAATAAAAATAGCCTAAGCATTGTTATACTCCAAAAGGGGAAGCTTCCAAACACATCTACTCACAAGCTTATCAAAATTCACAAGTTTGCCGAGAAAAGCGGCATTTACCTATCTAGAATTTTCCTTCAAAATCAAAACAGTTTACTTTCTCCGGAAAGGTAAACAAGAGTAACCCTGACAACTAATTCATTGAATTGAGGGACTGAAATCTAACATGTGAAAAGATGATGCCATTTCCCATTAAGTCGTCTTTATTCCATAAATCCTTTTATGTGGATAAACTAGTGCTTACTTTACAAAATGACATTTGGAAACTTTTATGATCAGGTGATGAGAAAGATAGAGCGCTGGCCAAATAGTTCAACATGTACAATGAGTATCTGATGTATTACAAACTTCTAGAAAGGAAAACTTGCTTTATGCAGCTGCATTGACATAGAATATAAAGAGAAAAGGTTCTGCCACAGAATATAGTCACAGCTATTTTTGTAAAGAACATCTTAAAGAAAAGTTAAGATTTAAAAAGCGTAGTTCTAAGATTAAATGGAGAGAAAAACTAATCCTATTTACACAAATAAAGGCCAAACATGCTTCCCCAAAAGCTGATTAAGCAGTTGCTGCCCAGGAAATAACCAGAAACATCAAACAGAAACATGTTTTATTCTACTCACAAGAAATAATACATAAGGATATGTCAGTGTGTCAGTTATTAAAAACTAAATCACTTTCACGGGAGAAAGGTTTCTAAAACAGGAGCAAGTAAGAGTGTACAAAACATTAATGCAGAAAATGTCAAGTAATGCCTGATACATGATAAATGCTTAAACACAAAAGAGAGGGCCCTGCTGTTCTTTATGTTAAGTGATTTCCAACTTTAAACTATAAGATACAAATACAAAGCAGCATTTGAAACTAGAACTTTAAATATAAGTGGAAAACTAAACAAGAGTACAAGTTGAGTAGCATCAAACAATTCAACTGTTAAACAAACTGACGTCAATTATTAAAGTTGGTGTTGTGATTATTTATTTTCACTTCCTCATTTCACTTTGGGAAAATTCATCTACTCATTACTGATACCAACGTAAAATTCAATTCTATAGGACTATGAAGTATTATGAAAATAATTTTGTGAGGTGTCAAACTCAAGACAGCTATTTACAGGAATATCAGGAACAAGATATTATTCCTGATGCCTATCAGTATTATCTGTAAAGTAGTTACAGTAAATCTGCTGGATTGCTGCATCGACTGACTAACGCAATACAAAATTTCAGATATTTTGAAAGGCTTCATAGCTTTTAAGCATTACTGAGAAAAAATAAGTAAGTGCTACATAGTTTTACAAAGTACATAAATTAACAAGAGGAGCTGAAATTGTAGGCAATACCATCTACAAGTTTCCAGTACAAAGTATAGCAAGATTTACGCAAAACCAAAGATTTTAGTGTTATTAATGTATCACTCTACAGTGCTTTATGATGTTCCTCCAAGTGGAGCTCAGCTCTTCCTTTGAAGTGGATTTTGCTATTTTCTGATGTTTTGTTTTTACATTTTTAAACATCTTAATAATGCTAAGCTAATAAGACAGGAATTTAATATTACAAAAATTCCTTTAGAAAAAAAAAAATCTTATGCACAAGTTAGCATGTCATTCAGATATCTGACACTACTCAGAAGCACAGTTTAATATCCTGTATTTACATTATTAATGTAAACATAAATGCACACTAAATTGCTGCTTATATAAACTATATAATATCCACTCTTATTAACTCCTCCTTCTTAAAATGATAATTAATTCTCAAGCATGTAAGAGAAGTTAATTAATCCTGACTTTTGCATAACATATTAGAAAGAGTACTTTGTTTTCAGAAAGTGTTTCTACCATTACGCACATCAACTACAAGAGCTTTTAAGTGCTCAGTGTACCGTGCCTACAATGCTTTCCTACTTTACTACACCAATCAGCAGAGGTACTCCATTAGCTCTCTGTACCCAGCAATTATAATACATACTCTGGCCCACCCAAAAAAACCCCAAACAAAACAAAAAAAAAACCTAAACCAGGAGGTCTTCTCAATTTCATTGAAATTTTACAGAGGTTCTTGCCTGTTCAGGGCCTTTCTAGAATAAAACCTTTAATAATGGACTTTGCTCTCAGTTACATATTTACCAATTAACAGGATGATTTTTACATGCAGTTGTGATGACCTGGTGCCTCATAAGACTAAAGCAGCTCAGTTTGTGCCAACAATTCAGTCTAACTCATGGGATTTAACTTCACTAGAATACACAACGGAACTTAAATGGTATGTATGACATGTAGCTGTACGTATGGCGTGTTGCTTTAAGTGTAAGTCTAATTTGTGGAAGATTTCACAAACCAAAAATGCAAAGTGTTTATATAACGAAAAAATTAATGCTTGAAGTGTCCTGATTCTTCTATCCAAAAGGGCTGAAAAGTTTGTTGTTTACTTTACAATGGTAAATACTCTATTCCTTTTTCCTTCCTTCAGTTCAGCTCGTTGCCTCCTATCTACCTAAATCTCTCTGACTGAAAAACTGCATATAAGCAGAGCAGTAAGTTTATTATGTTTCTGCTTCCTGCCTTGCTTTATCTATCAATGATCTAAATTCTGTAGCCTTGTATCATGCTTGCAATATTAGAACCTAGTCCTCAATTGGCCCCGGAGACTAAACAGAGCATTAAATGTTAAATCAGCAACACTACTTACCACATTGAAATCTAAGTTTTTTTCAACCCACTCCTTGGCTTCCTTGAATTCCTCTTTCATTTCCATGATGTACAGTGTATCAAGGGCATCCACTATTGTTGCTCCTTGAATGTTACCTGAAATACATGAAGAGCCAGTGATTTACTTTCCAACAGAAGGCTTTTCAGTTAGGTCTAATTAATTTAAATTAATTCTAATTTCAAAATCTAATTTCAATTAATCCAATTAAAAATTGGGTGTATAAGCATTTAAGTGGGCAACTAGTAATTCACAGCCTTAACTTTGATTCCCACGCCACAACACAGCATCATAATATTTAAGTATTTCTTCCACTAATGAAGCTTTGAAGAGCAGCTCTGATGCACTACATTTTCAGCCATGATTTTGCATTTTTAAACACTAATGGAACAGTTCACTGTAAAATGTAATTCATAGAAGACAATAAATCTCAACAAATGGAGAAATGACTGTTTCTTCCAGTTCGGAGTGAAAAAAGACAGTTGTTTTTTTGTTTTTATACTCAACAATATACATAAAGCTTAAAGAAGCTGATAAGCAGTGATCACGTTTCAGTTAAGCAAGCCCTTTAAGAAGTATCCTCTCTGAAAAACAATTTTTCTGATACTGTGCATCACCATGTAACCTGCACAAGATAGCACTGGGGGAGCAAAGGCAAACGTGCACACATCTGAATTTCTCAGCTCAGGACAGACAGCCAGGCATCAGTTTTCAGAGCAGGTTCTGGTTGTTTGCAAAAGTGGCATCCTTCTGCTTCTGTTATGGAGACGGATAAGAGTCAGTTTACTAGACTTCACCTAACGTTGCAAGATGAAGTATCATCAGTATGCTCACTTTGGCATGGATTAAATGTTCATCATCCTGTACTGAAAGGGTAATGTGGAGGGTCAGGGAGAAAATAAAGCCACTCAAATGACCTTCCCATGCTTCCTTCAAATTTACAATAACCTTTTTAAGACAGCGTTTTTGTCTAAGAAAATCTTCGTTACGAATGCAAACTACGGTTAAGATATTCTTTAGAGAAGACCCTAGATACAGAAGTAAACATTTAGAATTGCAGAATAATTTAGGTTGCAAGGAACAGAGGAAGTCGTTAGGTCCAATCCCTCTCTCCCCCAGCAGGGCTAGTGACTGGGGTAGACAGTTGAATACTCATTCAGGAATTGATTGCCCTGGGCAAATAACAAGACAGTAGCTACAACTAACTTTACAGAATTTGATTATCATCTTGCCTCTGAAATACCTGATGAAAAAGTAAACTTAGTTTTGTAGACTTATCAAGTATCAGAATTGAATTATTCATATTTAAGTAGGAAATACACTATTTCAGTCAACTCTTGTGTTTACTACCATCAAAGTTTTCTGCTTCCTCATGAAACAGAGGAGTGATTGGAGACGTCCATATAGCAGGATTGTCATCACTTTCTTAACTTAAGCTTCCAGACAGAAAATGATTTTCCATTTGTACTATCTTAAACAAAATAACACTTGAGATTATTATAACAGTTACTTGGAATATTTAACAGAACCAGATGTTCTCTCTGTTTTAGCAGCTGCTAATTGCATATACCATCCTTTTTGGAACATCCCTTTCCTACTCTGAAGGAAGTAATTTATGCTTTCCTCCAGACATTCCACTAATAAAACTGCAGCATACGTTGGTAAGAAGGACATCATATCTTCTCAGAGCTTACTTGGAGCTTGGCTGCCCTTCTCTCATATTAAAGGAAAAGCATTCCTTTAAACTTGGCTAAGTAACTTGTATTTTTCCTGAGCTTGTGAGAAAGTGAGAGTGATTGTGGAAAACTGCTGGAGGACATGCGCTCAAGAACACAACTGCAAAGGCTCTGGAGATGTTTAGTAACTCCCTACAAGAAAAGCAGCTCCTGGTGAACTTTTACAACTGAGTTCTACTTATGGAAAAAATCATCTATAACCTGATTTGCTTCAGTGGATTGTGATAGGCTCACCGCGCAATAGCATTCTTTGTGATAATCCTCTTGTAATACAGCTAACACCACCTCTAAACAGTTGAGCTTTCAATTTTAAGGATTAGTACTTGAGCTGCAACTCACTACTGAGTCTGAAGAAAAAGAAGAGAATTCAACCTTATTGAGAAATTGCCCTTGGAGTCACCCACTTCCTATGATTTTTTATTTTTCTGAATCTGGACCATATGGCCTGCTTAAAGCATAGACCTCTCCCTGCAGGCAGACAGAAGAAAATGGGAGAATCTCAAGCAGATCTTACTTCATTTGAAACAACTTTTGCTATTATTCTGAAGGCTCCAGAAAACAGAATAAAGCAATGAATGTGACAATTAAATAGTCAAGTTTGTCTCGAACAGTTGTACTTCAAAATTCTTGATAAAAGATAAAAGAACACAGAATGCATTTTTAAAGTGTCAGTTTAGAGGCCAGAATTATGACTTGTGAACAATTGCAGTTTACGCTAAATCAGGATAATCCAGACTTAAAAATTGTTAAGGAAATTGTGTAGCTGAACAGCTCATTTATAACCAGTCAGACAAACAAGGGGGGGGGCGGGGAATGCAAAGAAGTTAAATGGACATTTCTTATTACAGAATAAGATCAAATTAAGATCAAATATTTCACAAGCCTATATATGCTATGCTTCTCAAAGCACACCACATAAATTATGAAATACAGTTATCATTCATGTTAGTTCCTACACAACGTTCCCAAGGAATTACACAGCCGTCATGGTCTACAAGAGGCAAAGATTATTGCTAGGCGATTACGATATACACTCCTATGACACAGAATATTTGGACAGGAGGACTGTTTTGTTATACACCTAAGGTACTGCTATAAATTTGATTAACAGTGAGCACTGAGTTACAAAACGTGCCAGCAAAGTTGCAGTCACCATGGTAGAGTTTCACAGTTGCCCTAGGCAGAAGGAAGATACCGCAAGTAATACTCGGAGCAAATTCATACACCTCAGGTAATCACAGATATACTTTGCAGATAGTGCAAAAAATAGTATAATCAAGGTAGAGAAAATGGACTTGAAATTCATAAAACATAAGCTTGAAGTGAATAATTTTGATGATAAAAGAGAAACCAGATGCACAAGCCTACCAAAGTGAAACATTATTAGTCTCTACCAAAACCTCCACACCAAGTACTTGTATATGCTCCATTTTACTTCTTTTGTTAAACCTGCTTCTGTTTTTCTCTCTCCTCTTTACTAACAGCATCATTTATTCCATGTAAGTGATTAATAGAGAACATGTAAAATAGCCTACAAGCTAGTTAACTGAAGAGAAAGCAAAAGAAATTGGTCAACACGAAACTTCCAAGTGGACTATCTAGCAGCATCTACAGAGCATTCTTTCCAGTTTAACATTTGAAATCTTTAGCAATGATCTGGAAGAAAATAAAAAGAACCTACTGCTAACAGGATTTGTGGATGATTAATGAAGATAGCTGATTACCCAGAATTTCAGAATAGCGTGATATAAAGCACAGAGCAGTCTAGATCACTACTGGGTAGTACACAGTAGGTCCATTTAAGCAGCATGCTTTTTAATATCTAGCAATGCAAAGGTATGTGCACACAAATAAGAAAAGGAGATTACATTAGAGAACAGAGTAGTGCCTCAGGGGAGGGGAAGCAGAGAAGAATAAAAAAAGTGATCAGAGGATGAATAACTTTTTATGAGTTTCCAGGGTGTCACTGCAGGGGAACTGCTATGGATGACAAGCTTATTAGCACAGCTCTGTCACTAAGCTTATGTGGCCATATGGTTTAAGAACCACAACTGGCTTACGGCCAAACTGTTTGGAGGGTGGGCCAACAGAAGCTTTTATTTGTCTAGCCCAGGCTTTTAGACATGGCTTATATTTTTGCCAAAAGAGTCTGAAACAGAATACAGCCAGGATGCCAGAATCAATGCATGCTGGTGCACTTAATAGTTTGTTTACAACTTTCCCCATCCGTTGTATACTAAGTTTGGGGTTTGGTTCTCCAGAACATCCACACTCCTCACCATCAAATATATTTGGAGAGAGATATACATACACACACACATATATATGCATACATATATGTGAAACAGATGAAAATTTGTGATCTGCAAGCGTATCATACAGAACATTACATGGAGAAAAGTTTCAGGCATGTATCCTAATGCACTGTCTATAACAGGATGGAAGCCAGGCCCCTTACTCTTCTCAAATTCAACTGCCTCTCTTTTTCTGACTGTGTCATATTCTGACTGTAAGGAAACTGTGGCAAAGCATATGACAAAAATGGAAGATAAGGAAAGATGAACTATCAAGTGGCCTCAGGTCATGATATCCATCAGCTCCCTCACCTATAACAGTTCACCATCCAACAAGCGTCATAAACTAGGATTTCTTGTTCTTGCATGACTGTAGAAGATGAATAGAATGTTGTTATTTCTTCCAGGAAAACAGTTACAGTTTTCTGTTTCTGATATGAAGTATGAAAATTAATATAGGACATTCATATTTGTAATTTTTTTAATGTGATAGAAATTCAGCACATACAGGAAACATCTTTTTGAACATTTGCACTTTTTTTGAAGGGATATCCATTATTATTTGCATTATTGTCAGAAGAATTGCTTTTTAGGGCTACTCTGTACTACTGTGGAAAAGAAAGTTTTATACATAGCTGTATTTGAATTGCACTCAGCCCCACCCTGATCATCTAAGACTCTTCATTGTTTTCAGCCAGTAAGGCAAACTTGTCTTGTCACCTTCCAGTTATTGTAAGTTGAAGAAGCTCAGTCAAAGCAGATGTATTCTATGAAATCTTCCTCCAGTTTGTCATTTCAGACTCAAAATTCCAGCCAAAAATACAGAAATAATCTGTCACAATTTTTGCTTAATCTGGCCATTAAGAACAGTTCAGATTTTCTTAACATGGGGAATAGAACCAGATTCTTTGTAACATTAAATATACAAATTAAACAAATCAACCATCCAATTTTTTTCAACTCTATATGCATATATGTTGTACAGTAACAACTCTAAACTACATTATTCTCAACGTATTCAAGAATACATATAGATCTGACAAAATTAACATTTTGATTAGAGCTGTA